AAATTTCAAATACTTATCATTAATAATCAGTTTTGTTTCATTTGTAATTAATTACTTATACACTTAATTGTGTTCCCAACATTTACTTTGATTAAATATTCAAATCAAACAAAATAATAATAATAATAAACTCTATTTATCAAAATAAAAATTTTATGCAATTAATAGTAAAATAATTAAATCATTATGCAATGGGCTTAAAAATATATATTATGGCATGGAGGAAAAAAAATTAACTTCAAACATGTATATACATATGTTGTATTATATAAATATTTTTAGACAATCATATCTCAAGTTTTTAGTTCATTAATTCAGCAATTCATCAAAAAATAATGTAGAAGAAAATAATTTTTTATTATATATATATTAAAAAAAAAAAAAACAATTGGAGCCTAGCAGGCTTGCTTGGGCTAGGGAAGCTTGGCTTAGACCCTTTGAAAAAAAAATTTCTAAGGGTGCATTGTATATAGTAAATTACAAAGGGACTAATTAATTTGTCTCCTAAAGAAAGAGAGATCAAGAAGCAAAAAAAAAAAAAAAACTAATAAATAATAAATAAAAAAATAAAAAAAATAAAAAATTGAATAAGAGAGATGAGTCTTAAGCTACACGGAATGAATAGTGTGACACTCATTTCTTTTAGTGTTTTTTATAATCAGTTGGAATTTGTGTTCTTTTTTATTCAATTGAAAGGTGATATGTAAGCAGTTCTTATATTTTCTTAAAATTAATTGAACTCGGAACCCTTTTAGATTTGGCTTATTAGAAAAACTTAGGTTTTTGGGTTTTTAAAAATAATAAAACAAAATCCTTTTACAAAATCTTGATATAATGACGGATGTGGACAATGGTTAACAAAAATATTTAAAAGCAATTTAAAAAAAAAATAGAAGAAGTTTGGTTTTATCAAAGGACCATCTCAACCCTAGTGAGGCGTTAGATATAATTTATATTACTCTTTCAACACACTCTTTCAAATGAAAGCCCAAACATTTGAGTTTGGAATTTATATAGATCCACATTACCTTATGGTTAATACTTAATTAAATAGATTGGTAAGACTTGAACTCCCGATCACTTGGTCAATTAAACTCTAATAATATGTCAAATGATCATTTCAACTTAAAAATTTAAACTATTAGATAAAGTTTTAAAATATAATTTATATTACTCTCTAATGGTTTTTTCTATTTTTTACCTCTAGAATCTTAAATCTTGGAGTGTGTTGTGTCGTTTTCATTTCATTTATGATGAAAGTAGACTTTCTATCTAGTGGTGGTTAGAGAAAAAAAAACATTAGAAAATGTTGAACTTGGGTTTATGAGATTTTAAGTTTTACCACTAAACCATCTCTTATGATCAATTAAAAACAGAATTAAATGTTTATGCCACAAATTGTTTCATAAGTAAGGATAATAAATTTAAAACATACAGGGTAGAGGATAGCATTTTCATAGTTGTAAAAGAAAATTTGTTCTTAAAAAAAAAATCAAAATCTTCACGTACTTACCCGAAATATCTTCCTTGTAATAGCCCGCCTATCTCTGACTAGCTTGCTGCGTTCCAAATTCATTGATTCAGAGTTCCTAAGTTTCTGAAATCTCTCTGCTATTTATTAATTGACGCACCAGAATGTTTCAAACTATCAGGTGCATTGGTTTAAGCTAGGCATCCATTCATTCTATTTATAAACAAAATGTTTAGACTTAGACCAAAACTAGTCTTCACGAAAGTATGGTCGCGAGACATCGCGCGAGGGGGCACGTTCCACGGCCTTCATTTGGTCAATTATTAAATATATAATTTTGCAATCTCCTAATTTTTTATTTAATATATAATTTTTAGTATTTAATATAATTTGTGTTTTTATTTTTTAGTTTAGTTTAAATATATTTTATGAATTTGTATGATGAAAGAAGCCACCAATTGGCGTGGAAAGAGTGATGGAATAATCTATATTGGGAGGATGCTTAATTTGACCGAGTCCGTGACTATTGATTAAAAACCCCATGATTCTCTGCTTGATATTTCTTTCTTTCTTTTTTCATTGAAATAATTATGAATATTAATTTCCATCATTTGAAATCTAATTACAAATTAATGAAAAAAATGATAAGGTCAAATAATGAATTATTTTTATGCTTTTATGCTACTTAAAAGATTAAGGAATCATTTTTTTCTAGATATGTTGAAGAATTAAGATCAATTTTGAGCCAGACATAATAAGCCAAAAACTAATATAAACTAAAGGATGATAAATTATGAATTATTACATCCTTGTTATTTAGATATTTTTTTCTTCTAATGCCAATTTATCGGTAGTGTCGATATTTTTATTATTATAAAAACATCAGTGTCATGTCAACTCTATTTTGATACTATTATGGTAAAAATTTTGAAAACTATGCACGCTAGATAGATTAATTATTGGTTATCAAAAATTTATTATTATAAAAATTATTGCTAATTAATTATTATTTTTTATAAGGTTGTGTGGAGCATTATTATTTTTGACACTAATGATTACTTTTGATAGTAATTTTTAGAAAGAAAAAAATGATCAAAATTATTAAAATAATCATCATTTTATAGTGAAGTTGCATGAAAAAATTTAAAAATAAATATTAATTATTGAAGGGAAACTGATTTAGAGAAAAAAAATACAGAAGAAAATAAGAAAAATAATAATTAAAAAAACATAGAAAACTAGGCCGAGACGAGAGCCAGGCCTACCTGCATGGGCCTAGAAGCAACCAAGACCGACACCAAGCCTGGATGCGTGACACCCAGATATTGAAATAATAATAATAATAAATAAATAAATAAAGGTGGACAATGCCTCGCCATACCTGCAGCTTCAACTTTTAACGACCATTTTATTGTTAGAAAAATTGAAAGCCATCAGTTTTGATCCCTCAAACTCAAGCTCGCGATCATTTTCGCCTCCAAACATCCCTACAAAATGTAATAACCATTTAAAAAAAAAAAAAAATTCTTAATTCACTATAAAACTCCCCAAAACCAAATAATTTTGTCAGATTCAGATTTCTTTTCTCCTTTATTTTGAGTGCTAAAATCACCGCCAACAAACTCTCTTCATAAATACAATCACATGGACCTGATATTTTTGGATTAAATGGCCAAAATGGTGCTTGTTCGAGCTTTCTCTCTCTCTCTCTCTAGAATAATATAAATTTTATTCATAAAGCCTCACTGGATAGCTTTTTTATTATTATTAAAATAATTTTTTGATATAGTATCGTAGCTTTGATAACTAAAATTTTTGGATTAAGATGATTTTTCACTATAATATTAAAATCTCGAAACGGTTCAACAATTTAATAAAAATCTTAAAGTTCAAGCCACTTGACAGATTAAAAAAATGAGTTCTACATAAGAAAAAGTGTTAAAAAACCTATCTCACTTCAAATAAATAAATAATAGATGAATAATATATAAAACTGAAAATGAACTACCCATCACAAAGCTTGAGTTTTTTTTAATGGAATCTAAACTCAAGTCTCTAATTTTATAATTTTTATCATAATTTAGTATTATTATAATTTTTATCATCATATCATTCATCACGATGTCGTCATCATCATCACTATTATATTCACATTGTTGCTATAGTGCTATCATTTAATCATCATAATTAAATTATGCAACATAATTACTTTTTATATTTTTCAATTCATTAAATATTCTTATATGTATTAAATTAACTTTGTATCAAAATTTTTCTTTTGTATATCTTTGTTAAAAAAAATAGTTTTAAAAAAAACAAGCAATAAATATAAAATTGGTTGGTTCTGATTTTTTTTTCTTTAGAATTGATATTTCGATAGATATTTTTTAATAAAAAAATACAACGTTGATTTCAAAATAAGAAATTTGATTTTCCCTATTATAATGAATGATGTTACCTCTAATCAAGGAAAGCTAAATCTTTTTCTCATGTCTTAAATTTTTAGCTCTTCAACAATGTTTTAATTTTAGGAATATGCAGGTGTTTTTTAATATTAGCGAAGTATTTTTTGGCGTGATCCAATCTCAATACTTCCAAAAATATTAAACTATACTTTTTTCTTATAACTCTAGTTAATGTTCATTGAAAGTCTTATAATGCAAGCCGGTAAACCCCACACCGATGAAAAAAAGAAGTTAAATGGTATAATTTTCTTTTAAACTATTGATAGTGTGGTAAAATAAAGTTTAGTATTATTAATTTAGATAATTTGAATCTCAAAATATTAATTTTTTGATAAATTTTATTTTTTTCATTATGTTTCACGGTCAAAATGTTTTGTTAACTAAAATATTTAAAAACCGATCTCGTTTTAAATAATTAAAATATCAAGTATAGAAACCTTAGCCGAGAGAAAGAGGCAAAGAGCCTCTCTACATTAATTTTGAAAAAAATATATATTTAATAATAGTTAGTTTTAAGAAAACTTGGATGATTTTATTGTTTATGAATCTGACTTTTTTGTTAGGCAATTAATGATCTGTAATGGATCCATCTAGTTAAAAAAAATATTAAATATATATTTTTTTCAAAATTAATTTTTTAACTCTAAAAAAATTAAGAATAAAAATAGTTAACTCCAAGGATTTCGTTGTTTATGAATCGACTTTTGTTATTGGATAATTAATGATATGTATTGAATCCATCGAGTAAAAAAAAAAACTAAATTATTAATTTTTTAAAAAATTACTTTTAATTAAAAAAATAAAATTCTTAAAACAATTTTGTTTCAAACATTTCAATCAATGGTATTTGACTATTAGATATAACAAAAAAAAAAAAAAAAAACTCAAAAATTAATAGTTAAAGTTTCAAATTATTTAAATTGATAATATAAACTTCATTTTATTACAACTACAAAGTAAATTATGTCTTAAAAAAAACTGGGATATAGCAAATAATATTCAACTTCAATACAGAGAATCGCAAGCACACAAGAGTACTTAGAAACAAGATTAAGATGGTCCTTTTAGAAAACTGATGTTTTCGCTTCTTCTCGAGGAGCCTGCTTTTGCTCAGGTTCTGCTTTGCGATTAATCATTTCCCTGAAACATAACATTTAACAAACAAAAACGTTAGTAAATCAAACATTAAGGACAAAAGGATAAAAGGCAAAAAACTGCAGTTTTTCGAAGTGATACTGTCAATGTGACATTACTCTCGAGAGCTTATTCTCAGAATATTCGAAGTCGTGTATATTGAGAAATGCTCATTAACCACATGTAGAAAGGAATTATTAGTTTTATATACATAAAAACTGATCCGAATACATATTTACTATTGAAAAGAAAAAAGGATATCCTCTCCTACGTACCAATTTGTGGTGATAACAGTTACTAAACCTAAACAGAAAGTACAAAGATTTGGAAAATCACGAACCGCAAAAGTTGAGTCAGTATGGCATCCTTGGCAGTATCATTCTCTGATCTAGCTTTGACAATTTGAAACATGAGATCAAGCTTGACTTGATTTGCAGCGCTCTGCTTGGAGATTAGATTAGTTTCCTCTTTTAGTTTGGCTGCCTCTCTGCTTATTTCTTCAAATTTTTCCTTTGCTTCTTTTTGCCCCTCTCTTATGTGTTTTTGGCCCTCGTTGATCTCCATCATGTCAGCTCTTATCCTTTTTATACTCCTAGTTAGTTTTTTGTCCCCTAATTTTCTTTTCTGTTAACAATAATGTTGAGGAATAATATATGTTAGAAATCCAGAACAGTGACACCTAATATAAGCTCATTAATATACAGTATCCAGTTAGCAAAAATGCTGAGAACAATAAAACTGAAGAATAGCAATTGCAATTTATACCAGACCTTGGTTTGACTCGCTCCTGGACTATTCCTCATCCCAACTAGTTTTAACTCCATGCTGCTTCCCATCTGATGCTAGCTTGTCGCCGCTTTTTCCTTTTGAATAATGCTTGTCGCAGGTCTGCATACCTTGCTTAATAACCAATTTTCTTATATATATAGGAACGAATTGGTCCCACCTCAAAAAGACGCGGCACTGGAACAGAGGAGGAAATTTACGAGAGCCAAGTGTTTATGAAATGATCACTCAATTGCTGTCGATGTTCCTGCTTCCTTCCTTTTCTCGGTTTAAAGTAATATATACCGTTGGGTTACTTGAAAGGTTCTCGCACTCGTTAATGTCTTTTGAAAATTCCAAAGACGTTTGTTCTTACAATATCTTCAAAATGCTTTTATTTTTTTTAATATATATATAAGTAATTAGCTTTTAATGTTATTGTAAAAAATAAGAAGTTTGAACTTTATATCCATTACAACGGAGAAATTAATTTTGCCAACACAATAAAGATAGGAGATTAACTTTGTTTTTTTAATCTCTCACGTCAAAGGTAGATAAATTTACTTGCTAGCATTTACCAAGAACTAGAGGTCCATTAATACACGCCAGCATATTTGGTCTGTGGAAACCCAAAAGCATGCTAAAAGTTGCCAGTTGTTACATTATTGACGCTTGTTCTAACGTCAGAATCGTTCGCTTTCCTGCGTCTGTCTCGCATTACACGAGTAACACAGGTTTTATAATATCCAAGAAATAAATAATGACATATACAATATTTATTTTTTTGACTCATTTTAAAAAAAGAGATAAACATATAAAAAAAAAGAGAAGCATGGGAGAAAAATTAAATTTTTTTGGGAGAACGTGAAAATCTTTTTATCATTTTTAGTAGCATTAATATAATTTTGTTTTTTTATGTATCTATCTTTCTTCTCAAAGTAAACCTAAAAAGTAATTATTATACATATTACTAGTTATTTCTTGTGTATTATAAAATTTTTACACGCTGAACTCTTTTTTTATTTTTTATTTTTCTTTCTGAATGAATCCAAGAGCTCTTATCATTCGGTGCCGTGAAATTGTATAACACTCCAGACAGCCTCGTGCATTTTGCTGTCGTAGAAATGTATCAAACTATGGACGTAATGGTTGCAGAGTTTCCTCCACATGTTGTTTCTATTTTTATCATTTTTTTCATGTTAAATTCATTTCTGGAAGTTTAGTTTATGTTTTAATTTCATTTTTTGTATATTTTTTAACCAACAGTGCTATTTTTTTTTTTTTTTAATCTTAATCTCATCCTTCTATTCTATTTCTGTTTTAATTTTGTTTTGTTTTTTTATCAAATTTAAATGAATAAATTTTGAAAAAAATAAAACAAATATGAAGATATATCCAATCATTCTCTCTAAACTTTTTATTCAAAAAGCAAAGTTAAAAATATTTTTTAATTCAAATTATCCTTTATGGGTTTAAATTTATGTCAATAAATTTTAAGTGTAAAATAAAATATTTATAGTATTTTTTTAACACTAACAAAAAATTATATTTTCATTTTTAAGTCAAATTAAGAAATTTATAAAATCAAATAAGTAAATTATAATAGATTGGTTTTAGATATTACTAAATTATAAGTATCATTAAAATTTTTAATTAAAACCCATTTCACATTTAAAAAAATACGATAAATATTTTATTTATACTCAAAATTTATTTATTATCATAGAAACACGTTAAAAAATAAATTAAAAATACCATAAAGAAAAGAACTTATGTAATTGTTAACCCATATTATTACTAATACTCTAAAACAGAAGACACTTTTACTGTTCAATGAACAGTGTTTTTTTTTTTTTTTAGAATTTTTTTGAACCTAGCAGCCAAGGCTTGAATAGCCTTATTGTTTTTTTTATATACGCTCGACCTTTTTTTCTTTTTTCCTTCTATATATATATATATATATATATATATATTATTTGATTTTTATCCTTATTACTAATACTTTAAAACAAAAGACACTTGTACTGTGCCTTCTACTATTCAATGAATAATGTTTTTTTTTTTTTAGGTTGAACCTAGCAGCCAAGGCTTGCTAACCTCATTGTTTTATATATAAAGACACTTGTACTGTGCCTTCTACTATTCAATGAATAATGTTTTTTTTTTTTTAGGTTGAACCTAGCAGCCAAGGCTTGCTAACCTCATTGTTTATATATATATATATATATATATATATATATATACTATTTAATTTTTATCCTTATAATAAATATTTTTTCTTGAGTTTTAGTAAAAAATTATGTTTTTTGGTTCTATTTTGTGATATGTTTTTATTTTAGTCATTAAATTTTTATTATGTTTGATTTTTATTTTTACTATACTAAAATTAAATAAAGTTTACTATCCTAAAATTTTTTTGTAGTGCTCACTCCTTTTTTTTTTATCTTTTTTTTACCCTCACAATATACTATTCACTCTTAAGTGTTCTTTTTTTCTTTTTAAATTTTCACTCTTAGTTTTTTTTCTTCTTTTCCTAGGATTTTTTTTATAATTTTTAAATTATTTCGTTTTGATTTTTTTTACTGTAATTTTCACTCTTATCTTAGTTTTTTTTTTAATTTTCAAATTATTTCATTTTAATCCCTAAAATTTTAAAATAAAAAATTTAATTCCTAACGGATGCACTACATACCGTTTCTTTTTTTCTTTGATTTTTTCATCAATTTATGTTCTTTTTTTTCATTGGGTGTTAAAATTTTTAAAAATCAAATTATTACCTTTTTTCATACGAACTAACGATTATATAATATATATAAATCAAATATATGTACTTTAAAAAAATAATTTTCTCATCAACATTAAATAAAAAATATTTCATTTTTTCATTGGTTGATTTTTATGCAAGTCTATACATTAATTGTAACTTTATTTTTTTGATATATTTTTTTATAAAATAATATATTTTTAAAGCATTTTTTTATATTCTTAATTAATATTTCAGATTTAAATTATATATTATAAATTTTTATTTAGGAATCCATAAATAAAGAAAAATAAATTATTTTTTCAAGCAAAAATTCTATGAAAAAACACAAAAATAGTAATAACTAGTAAAAAAATTATAAAATTTTGAAATGATTTTATTCTATCTATCGTAGCGTTGCGTTAATAATTTCAAAAATTAATCTTCTCATCAGCATCAAATAAGAATTTTTTTCCATTTGTTAGTTTTTATAAAAGTCTATCTATTAATTATAAGTTTATTTTTTTGAAATACAATATTATGAAAAATATATTATTAAATTTTTTTAATTTTGATGAGAAGATTTTTTTTTCGTCCATAAAGAACAATGAGTTATGTTTTTTAAGCAAAAAAATTTATAAAAAAAACATTAGAAAAGTTAATTAAATAAGAAATTATAATTAAAATTTTTTAAAATTTTAAAATGAGTTTGTTCTACTAGACTCGTAGCGTAGCGTGCGTAATCGGCTAGTGTGAAATCTATATTACATAACAAAATAAGATAAAAAATGCAATATTTTAATAAAAAAATATTTTTTTTAAAAAAAACCTTTGTTTGGGTAAAAAACTCCAACATCCTGCCTGTTGCATAACTAAGATTCTTCGGTTTGGTGCAAGCCCATACGGTCGGCTGGATCAGTGTGATACGAGTCGGGAGGAATTGACTTTTGATTGAAGATGGTACTGCAGCTTATGATAGAAGGCTATAATATAAGAGTCAATATTTGATAAAGAAGATAGGTGGCAAGTGAGGCTCATTTAGTTAACGAGTGAAGGACACGCTGGACAAAAGAGAAAAAAAACAGAGAAACACGTTTCTAGGTTGTTGAAAGTGATGTGAATAGTGTTTTTCAGGTTGGTGTGTTTTTTTTTTTTGGGTTGAACCGAGCAGCTCGGTTTGGTTGTTGTAGATTGGTTTTAGATATTACTAAATTATAAAGATAATTCAAAAATTTAAAAATTTAATTAAAACCCATTTCACATTTTAAAAAAATACTATAAATATTTTATTTATACTCAAAATTATTTATTATCATAGAAACACGTTAAAAAATAAAAAAATACCATAAAAAAATAGAAGAACTTATGTAACCGTTATCCCATATTTAAACTATTAGAGTAGAGGGATAAACTATTCGAGTGTTTGAATAAATGGTACTGTGAACTATTTCATATGGTCTAAAAAGCAAAAAACAACTCTTTATCTCATACCTCTGAAACAAGATTTAATAATAATAATAATAATAATAATAATTTCGGTACAATGCTTTTTTATAATCATAATAATAACAAATAAAAAAAGAGTGTTGTTGCATGTTCAGTCAGAGTAGGGATCAAACTAGCCGTTCAAACCATAAAATGGATGAATTCTGATAACCTTACTGTCTGGATTTGAAAAGGATCCACTTATACAGGGAACCAAAAGAAAAGAAAAAAAAATTCTCAGTTACGTGGGTAAGTTAAATCGATGAATAAGTGGATCAATTTTTTTTCTAATTCACATTTATTATTCATGAATCTCTTTTACTGAAAAAAAAAAAAAAAAAAGGCAAACTATGTATAATAGTTCAAAAAAAATAATTAAAATGTTTATTCAGCTAGCTAGTAAGTCAATTGACAGCTGAAGCAACGGACTGCTAATTGACCAAGTAACCTTACTGTCTGATCCGCCCGCTAATTAAGCATTCATTTTGAATATTATTTTGTAGTGGCATTTTCTCTTGCTATTATATGTACGTGACGTAAACTTTGAAAAGTTTCCATAAATTTAATAGAA